AGCTGCATACTTAACCACATACAATGTTTTCACTGTCACATATGGTTGTACAGAAAACATTTGAAAAGAGAAAGAGAATGTTCATTATAGAACAAATGTATTTGAACAAATTAAGGCAAAAATAGTCAAAACAACTGTTATTATTGTTAATCATAAAAATCAGAAATTAACTCAAAGAATACATAATTATTGATATACATGTAATATTCCCAGAAATCTTTATAATATAGAAGCCTAAAATTTGTTAGTAATAATTAAGACTATTCTGACACTATCTATAGTTTGTGTTCATGTGTAAGAGAATCAATTTCACTTTCTCATTTGTTCTTTGATGTTCACTTTGGCAACAATAAATTTCTCCATCTTTCCTTTTCTTCTTCTCTTCTCTGTCTATTGTGCTTTTACCATTCATCCACCATAGAAAACCCTCACTCGACTATTCAACGATTGTAGGATCTAAAACAAATTCCCCTTCTCCATTGGTAATGCAATTTTTATATTCTTTTTGACAGAAAATTTGTATGTTACCAGCAAAATCTTGTATTTGCAAGAATCTAATGTTCTTAAATATTTACCTTATGAGCAGCCATCTTTCCCCCTCCTCTAAATTTCTTTACATTCAATGTACGTGCAAAGTCTTTGTGTCAGTGGTAAGTCATTTTTTCTGTATTTGCTTTTTCTTTCAGTTCTTCAACCACAATAACTTTACTCAAGTCAGTAAGTATAAGAGAATTTTTGCTTGTCCTTTGTCTTTTAAGCGATGATTTTCTGAAACCAGTTTCCATGATAATAACAAAATAACAATAGCTATTGTAGTGCCTTAATAAACATTATCAGCAGCAGCTCGGAGGGTATAAAAACAGGAAGTACTCTCGCTTCCTGTCTTTCCTCCTTTCAAAGTGTATGCCATCAATTTTTCACACCAAAACCAAAAGAGCTTCACACTCAAATACATTAATTTACAATTTTCGTTTTGTGTTCAATTTACTTCTAGGAAAACAAACTTTTAAACGTTCCTTTTGTTAATTTTATTAAATAAATGTTATCATACATTGCAAATCAATCAATCAGTTTGTTATTTTGTGCATGTATCTTTTCACCACCATCATTTCATGTAAAATATTCTTGTAGAAACCTTATACATTATAGAAATAGTCAACACACTAAACTATTGTAGCAAATTTCTTCAATGTGACACTGATAAAAACATTTTATTCTATAGTACTTTTTTTTTTTCCCAGCTCATTTCAATTCCCAACTAAATAATTACAGTCAGCAGTAGGTCACTGCCTGTTTTTCAGATATTCAAATTAAAGTGAAAAACATACTGATAAAAAAAACAAAAAACATCGACTGTTTTCTGCTGTTATGAACAAACAATAATCAATACTGGAAAATCAATAACAATTATTTTAATTAAAGTAGCATATTTTTTTTTAAAAACTAACAATGTTGTTTTTCTTGCAATCATTAGCTATAAGATTGAAGGCATGATAATTAATTCAGATTAACAATACAATTATAAATATATTATTAGTAAATGTAATTGTATTGAAACAATAATACATCATCAGAATAATAAGAAACTTGAAAAATAATCCTGCTATACATTAACAATTACCATATTTGTTGCATATAAGACACACATATCTTTTCTAATTCCCCTGCATCTTATATGCCATATATAGGTTTAAAATTTGTAATCTTTGTTTTTATGTGCCATGTCCTTTCAGGATGTAGGGGATCATGGCTCTCCACTTCCCTCTACCACTTGCGGCTCTCAGCAAGCTACTTCCCTCTGCTTCTTCCCGCAAACCACGTTCTGTCATCCACCTGCTCAAGCTTGTCAGGTATGTCACACACTGCTTTCCCTTGTCTCTCTTTCCCTCTATTTGAACCGTGAGTATCAGATTCTCTAGGCCCTCCTTCCTCATTATGTGTCTGAGAAACTTCAGCTGCCTCTTTCTGATGTTAAGTATAAGCCTTCTCCTTGATTTTAGCTTCCCTAAGACCTCATTGTTGCTCACATGCTTGGTCCATGATATCCTTAGCATCCTTCTGTAAAACTACATCTCTGTCGCCTCAAGTCTCTTGTTCATTTTTGGAGAAATTGTCTAACATTCGCTACCATAAAGAACAACAGATATCATGTAGCAGCTCAGTATTCTTTCCTTTGTTACCAAAGAAATCCTCTTGCAATATTCTGCTCCGCTTTTGGAATGTGTCCTTGGCCATCCTCTGTCAAGACGCTTCCCAGATATTTAAACTTCTGTATCTGCTTGATTCTAGTGTTCCTGACTTGCAAATCGCATTTTGAGCTCTTCCTCTTACTGATGACCATGTCTTCCATCTTATTGTAGTTTATGCTTAGTCCTTTCTTCTCATTTTCCGTCGCTACCTTCTGTAGGAGATTTTGTAAGTTCTCTTCCATGTCTGCTATCAGTACTGTCATCTGCGTATCTTATATTTGTAAGGTTATAGCTGCCAATGCTAAATCCAAGTAGGGTTTCCAATTCTCTTAGAATTTTCTCACTGTATAGGTTGAACAAGTCAGGTGAGAAGACGCATCTTTGCCTTATGCCCCTTTCTAATTTTTTAATATTGGCTGAACTCATTCCCTATGCGCATGCATGCTGTTTGCTGCCAGTATAGGTTCTTGATTATTCTGATATCTTTCCCAAATATATCAAGGTTGCTGAGAAATGATTGGATGACTGATGAGATTCTCGATGATGGAAAGGAGACAGAAAACCCTATCAAGATATGAGATGAAGTACAGAAAATTACAGAATGAAATAAGGACCAAAGGCAGGCAACCTAAAGAAGAATGGCTAAACAAAAAATGTGCAGAAATAGAAAGATTGGGTACTAACAACAAAAGTCATACACAAAATTTGCAACAGTTGGCCAAAATTATCTACCTGGCAACTCCTATTAGCTTAGACATTAGGGTAACTTTTATATACCTATTGTCATTATTTAAAAGCTATTATGCAGATTAAGTGTTATCATTGATAATATTCATTATATTAATTTCATCACACTTAATATTTGTACTTTGTTTCACTAAAATTATATGCAATAAATTCAAATTATATATTTGTAAAATATATGTTTCATTAATATTTTTCTTGCGATAATTCCCGGTTGCATTGGTATAAATACAATCAGAATTTTTATATCCTAATTATTCAAATAAGACACAGGTTGTACAGATCATATAAAGGATATAATAAAGTTTTTATAGGCTCATGTTCTTTTTTTCCTATTTTTCATTTAATTATAATCATGACTTTTTAACCAAAATAATACCTCATAAATATAGCCTAGGCTGTACCATTTACTAATAATTTTACTAATTCCTAAATTTTTTCTTGATTTGCCCTGCTGAAATTGGGGTGTGTCTTATATGACATCAAATATGGTATTTTTGACTAGTATTTGAGTTGTCTAAATTTCACTTGATTTTTGTCACAGATTGTCTTTCTAAAGAGATTACCAAACATCACAAATTAGAAATAATCTTTCACTTGGAATTTGTCCTTTATTTCTGATCTCTGCTATTTATTTATATTCGTAGAATGATAATCTGAGTCCTCCTTTTTCATTACTACCCCCCCTGTGACAAATAGTACCACAGCCTCACTACACTAGATGTTGCTGCTGTGGTTTCTGTAGCTAGTATATGTATTATAGAGCGGAGTTGCCAGCCCCATACCCAAGCGATTTTGACTTCAAAGTTGGCTTTCATCTAGACTGGTTGCCAACTAAGACTAGAGAGTCCAGGCTGCTCTGCTCACAATCCATAGCTGGGTGAAGAAAAGATGGATTCATATCTTTCTTAAGAGTATTTGTGCAAAAGTGAATGCAACTAATTCACTTGGAATTTGAACTTGGCAAATCAATTCTGCATTTTGCACTGATAACTGCTACACTACATTCACATCCAGTAGTTGCAATGAAAAGCAACTAAAATTAAGCTGAAATATTTACATGTTAACAATTATTGATCCACAGTATAAGAACAGGATTTAAGGAGACAGAAAATGACAAATGACATTGCATTTAAATTTTAGATCATTGTAGTTAACATGAAAGCAAAAAGCTGGGGAAAAGTTCCACATGCAAGAAGTGTGATAGAAAAAACTAATAGCATAGTAGAAATTATGGTTAGAACCATCAATTTCAACAGTGAAATTATGAGACCTACTTGCTAATCCAGTACTGTGCTTAAATTCATTAAGTCATGGTATAAACTAGGAAAGCTCATCAGAACAATTATTATAAAAATATTTATACTACAAATAAAATCCCTGTTGTAAAATATGGCAAGGGAATGTTGAGATTAAGGGAAACATCTAACAGAATGCTTGCCCAAGGATGGGTGTAATAGAGAAGGAAAGTAACAAAATAACACTGTCTCTGAAACCATGACACAATAACTTAGGAACAAAATGCACATGCAACCGACTTCACAAGACATTGAATTTCACCAACTACTGACTGCTGGTCTTCTTTTATTGATAGACAGTAGTTAGGTTGAGAGAAACTCAGATCTAGACAAATTGCAGAGGCCTGTATTTGAACATGCCAAGCTGTTCTTCTGGTAACTCAGGCAATCCCAGATACAAATGGCAATCCGGGGTCTCTTTTGCATCTATACTAACATGTTCATCACAATCTTAAACATGACAACTTCAGCAGCCTAAATGCTGACAGGATTATCACATAGTTTGACAAACCTATGGAGTTTTTGCTGAAGTCACTTCTATGTTTGGAATTCTTGTAAATTAATTTAACTATCCAAATTATATTGACAAGAAACCATATGGTAAAAAGCAACAAAATAAATAATAAATTAATCAAAGTGAATAAAAAAAAATATTATGTCCAATCATAAAACTATTTTGGCTCAGAATCTTGTGATTTTATGACATTTTCTTTACAAGTTACTATTACAAAATGGGGTTCAGTTTTTACAGAAATAGAACCAAACTTACCAATTCCATACTGTCACGCATATTGCCAGAACCAACATGGACAATAATCTTTTTCAACCTGGAATTAAATAGAACATTTTCATAATGAAAATATTAAGTTTAGGACTTGAAAAGAGTTCTTGAAATTTGTAATATTAAGGTAAATTTGTTACTTGTTTTAATTTACACATCATATACTAAAGCCAAAAGAATTACTCTTCCTCATTCAACTCTGAAATAAAGTCAATACTTGAGGTTGAAACAGCAAATAAGGTTGGTTTCTGTTTCCAGATCATTAATTATATGCCAATTTTTTTTGCTCATCAATTACTTTTTATCATATTTTCAGAATGTCAATCCTCTTTTTCTAATATTTTCTAAGTCTTTAACCATTTTTTTTATTATGCACTAAAATGTCCTTCTACCATTCCAATATTGTGTGTCATAAGAAGTGTCTTGTAGATCTGTAGTTTGTAGAAAAGTCAATATTCCATTTACTCCCTGAAACCTTATAATATTTCCTCATATGTGAGTATTTTCTGATCAAAGACCAGTCTACATTTTCATATTCTTTTTTCTTTTTATGTGCCATGTCCTTTCAGGATGTAAGCGATCATGGCTCTCCACCTCTCTCTATCCCTTGTAGCACTCAGCAAGTTCCTTCCCTCTGGCTCCTCCCCCAGATCATGTTCTGTCATCCACCTGCTCAAGTTCGTCAGATATGTCATGCGCTGCTTTCTCTTGTCTCACTTTCTCTCTATTCAACCCGTGAGTATCAGATTCTCCAGGCTCTCTTTCCTCATTATGTGTCTGAGAAACTTCAGCTGTCTCTTTCTGAGGTTAAGTATAAGCCTTCTCCCTGTTTGTAACCTCTCTAAGACCTCATCATTGTTCACATGCTCGGTCCATGATATCCTTAGCATCCTTCAGACATCAGTAAATAACATGGATTGTTAAAATAAAGAATAATTTCTTGGTGAGACATGAATTTACATCCTTTTACCTAAGGAAATTTATTTTGAGTCTTTTTGAGAATTTATTTTGTATTTCTAATCTATACTCTTTACTGAGGGTTTAAAGACATTTGGCTATTTCTTTATTAGCACAATATTTTCATCTGTTCATTATCTTTTACTCTTGAGAGTAAACAAAGAACATATTGTCCAAAATGTTATTCTAAAAATAATAAACAGGGCTGTGAAGTCAATTAAAGGGTCACTGGAGTCGAAGTCTGTAAAAGAGTAAAGTATACAGACTCCAACTCCAGTTGAATTTACCCTTCATGTAAAATGTCTTAAATTATAGAATGTTTATTTTTATTTCTTCTACTGTATATTTACTATTTCCTTTAAACAAATTCATCTCAATTTCTTTTTTAAAATCATTTTAATTTTTGTAGTTAGTCTGTATTTGCAAAACTATATATGTAAAAAAAATCTTACATTTATATTTTTATTTAAACTTATTTCAGGAAATGAATTTTTTTTCTAGGAGGGAATATTATGTATTAGAGCATTAACCTTTTAAAAATTTGAGACACAGTTCCCCTTTTCTCTACAGAACTGCATAGATCAGGGCAGTCTACGTTTACATTTCTATATTGATGCAATGAAAGATCTAACTTTTGATCTATTCTCCAGGAAAAAAAATACATTTCTTGTTGTATAACACATTCTAATTTTATCAGGTAAAAGTCAATTCCATTCATGTTATAACTCACTCCTATCTGTTATAATATTATGTCTTGTTTAGGCTACTTGACAAGACATCATTAGAATTCTTCCTGACTGACTCCAGTGGACTTTTCCTGACTCATTTTGAGTTCTTTATTTAAAGCATCTTGCCTAGTTCATTTGTGTTACTTACTGGGGATGTCTTATTTACTCCACAATATCCCCTTTTTGAGATTTTATTTTTTACAAGTAAATATTTTAATTCTTAGTATTCGCCTCTGCCTCTTTTTTCTGGTTTGTTTGCCACATACTGAACTTTGTATTTCTTTTATTTTGAGTCAACCTCTAGTTTTTTCATATGTTTCCTTTTTCTAGTAATCCTACTTGTACATTCAATGAATTCTTGGGGTGTTGGTATATCAAAAATATCATACAGTATTTGCATAAGTTCTTCCTTTATTGCCTTTCATAAGTGTTATTGGGGATGTCTTATTTGCTTCACAACAATTTGTGAACTGGTTAGTTAATAAGGTCACTAATTACTCACTCTACTAATACCGTTTCACAAAATGATTTTGCTAGTTTCATCAAATGCAATTGTTTTACTCATGTCAGATGCAATATTGCAATATGACTTTTTTTTATAAAATAACAATCAAGATAACCAAGATCAAATACTATCTAAATATTATAGGAGGAAGTTTTTTCCTAATTTATAACGAGGGAAATTTGTGAAGCATTAACTTTCTCCCTTCTTTCTTATTTGCTAACTTGACTGATGAGGCTCTAATCATGATTATTCATAAAAAATGAGTGGCATTTGTTGTTTACCGATTGATTTTTTTTTTTAAGCGTTTCACCCCAAGCAAGGTGGGAAGCCACTAGGATGCAAGGGGTTACAGAAAATTTGGAGTAAGATCAGATAGGAGTGATAGAAGAAAGGATGAGGAGAAGGGTAGTGGATAGATCAAGGCAACTGGAGATGTCGATTGACATTACATTTGAATAGCTGGAGATTATAGCTCTCAAGGAAACTGGAATAGGGAAGGGAGTTCCACAGGTGAGAGGTGTGAGACATGAAGCTATTGGAGTAGAAGAGACGGCTACATTTAGGAGATTCGATAGTGAAGGGGTGAGAGCAGGATGCCAGCCTCGTAGGGCACTTGAACTCATGAAGTCTGTTTTATGTTTTTAATTGTTAACTGTTATTATTTAATTAAACATCTGTGGTAATTAATAAGCACCTTAATGGTTCTTATCAATAAAAATGTAGGATTAAAAACTTGTGAGAGATAATTTCTGAAAGATTAAGACACAAATCTTCTTATCGAGTCACTATCTTAGACCCATCCAGTGTTACGTTCAGAGTCATGCCTGAGGTATTACAGTTTCAATGTTAAGTGTGCATGAATCTTCAAGACTGTGACAAACTAGAAGATCTTCCATAGTTTGTGATTGTCCACATCATTGGTGGCATATCCCCACTTCTGAAGGTTGGCTCTACTGTGAACAACAGATGTTTGGAAGCAATCCAGGCAGGACCTGATGGGGCAGGTATCATTGGAGCCAGTGAAAGATAGGAATAATATGTGCATTCAACACTGCTTAATTAAAAGAAATGATACAATGAAAAATTATTAAATGTTATGTTTTCATGAAAAAAAAAAAAAAGAAAAGATTTTTCTTTGATCGCCAAAGGTTTACAGTGCAGAGAGCTTAAGTACTTTGAATAGATGATCAAAAAATGATTCTTTCAACAATATTTATTAGCCTAATGTATTTTTCATCAGAAGGTTTTTCAACAAAAGTATTACACGAGAGAAAATATGAACAATTTAAATGAAAGTTTTAGCAAAATTCTCTTTGGCAGCAAAGATAATTTAAAATGCATATATTTGAATATAATCCAATAAAGTTTTTTTGATAGAATGGAAATACATGTTACTTGTAGCAGAATCAAATTTTGATAAAATTCAAAATTATGGACAAAGCATATGATTCTGACAACTATTACAAAACTGTGTTAAATGAAATTTTGTAATGAAATGTGTAGGTAAAGGTGTATTCAGTAAATATAGAAAAATCAAGTCTTTAAATATAGTGTTCATAATTCAGGTTGTCGAAAAACTGACTTATTCTTAAGTGTAATTAAATTGAGGGATTAAGTCTCTATTTTTTTTTAAGTACTTCTTATGCACACTAAAGCATTTGGTTATTTAGTGCATTTATTTATTTATTTATTACTTAAGTTCACCCAATACAAAGATCAAGAAAGTTACTGAGTTGTAAGGTAGAAGGCAGGTGGAAGTAAGGACATATGAAGATATATTGGTTGACCCTAGACTTGAAGAGGTTAAGATTGTAGTGATTGGGGAAGCATCCTCTTAGGAGTTTGTTTTACAAAGTAACAGTTCTGGGGAAGAAGTTGTCTGAGTAGAACTTTCTCTTTACCAAATGAATATAACATGGTGGGGGGGGTCCTAGATGTGATGGTCTGAACTGGTGGAACAAAGGTATCTACCTCATTTGAATATTTGCCAGAGTAATAGCGATAGACTAGTAATGTTTTATCCATGGGGAAGGGGGTTGCTACTTTTTAATCAGCAAGATAGAAAATGATTTCTTGTGAAATTTTAAATATGTTGTGTAAAGGCAATTATATGACCCACATACTTGAAATTTGTCCGTAACTTATTTCATTCTTGGTCCTCATCAATTTAAGAATCTAAAAGTTTTTGCTTTCATGGTTAAAAACGTTATTTATATAAATGTACAAAAATTGTGATAAAAATAACACTAACAATGTGACTGAGAATAAAGAAATATTTCCTGCCATGATCAGGACTTTGTTCTCATATTCTGTATGCAAAGCTACTATCAACTAAGCTAATACTGATCTTCCAGTGGTAACAGTTTTTCTTAAATAGTACTTAAAATGTTAACTAATGTTAAGTATGTGTATTTGTACTTACATGTGATTTCATGTACATATTACTGTACAGAAAGATAGATCTGTACTTAGCTTAACTTTATATGATACAAATACCAAATGATGAAGAAGCAGGTGCTATGTCAATGTTTCAAGTAGGAAATCCTACATCTCTTCAGCTCCCTTGCAAATCATAAAATGATTTTCTGCTTTTTCCTTGAATTGGATACTCACATCTAACATCAGTGAAACATATGCAACTATTTGGGTTGTACCAAAAGTTTGGTTAAATTAGTATTTTTTTGACATTTAATTTAATAAAAAATATTTTAACAATTTCCTATGTATAAATTTCATTGATAGTTTGCAGATATTTATTTTATTCACAAATATTTATTTTTAATTTTGTTCAGTTAAATTTACAAAAAGAAACCTTCAAATTAACCACAGAATTTCTCAATAGCGAGGTTGCCAGGA